TTTTCTTTTTGCTTATGTGGTGCTGAGGAATCGAACCCAGGGCCTCATGCATGCAAGGCAAGTGCTCTACCACTGAGCCACCTTCCCAGCCCTGGCAAGAAATTTTGTGAGACTCTTATCTCCAATAGATTACTCAAAAAAGCCATAAGTGGCATTGTAGCTCAAGTGCTTACCTTGAGCAAAAGGAAGTTCAGGGACAGTGCCCAGGCCCAAAGTTCAAGCCCCAGAACTGACCATTTCCCCCCCCCCCAAAAGTCCAAACAGCATGGCACAAGTTCTTGAGTCCCTCATTCCCTGGTTATTTTGGATAGTAATGGCAGAAGTACACGTACAAGAGAGAGCAACCATGTTTGGAACAGGAATTCAGAAAGAGCATTTTATGATGCAAAGTTGAATTGGATTTAGTGGCTCCGATTATACCTTCATTTTCATGACTTCACCTTTTAATTTCCTCTCAAACCTAGATTTTTTTTTCTTACAGATTAAACATAAATGGTACCTACTAATCAGTAAAAGTCCCCCTCTTGTCAGTCAAACCAATTTTTCTCGTTAGCTTTTCTCCTGCAAGATATTTCTCACAGAACTCTGATCTTATTTTAAAGATCATTGTGGATGTGCCATATTTGGAAATTTCATTTGGAAGAGGAATGTAGTACCATGGTTTGCCTGTGCTAGTTAAGTGATACATGATAGGACAAAACCTCTTAGCATGTACAAAACCTCTACAGTGTCACCTCACTCACAGTTGTAAAGCCTGAATGCAGCCATCTTCCCCTAACAGGGCAACCTGCTGTATTTGTAAAATTTGAGTAAAGCTTTTATTTAAAAATCATGGTTTTGATGTGAGCTCTGGTAGTTTACGCCTTTAATCCTAGCTACTCAGGAGGCTGAGATCCAAGGGTTGTGATTTGAAGTCAGCCCAGGAAGGCTAAATCCATAAGACTCTTATCTCACAATTAATCCCACAAAATGCTGGATGTGGAGTTGTGCCTCAAGTGGTAGAGCACAGGCCTTGAGAACAAATGCTCAGGGACAGTGTCCAGGCTTTGAGTTCAAGGCACAGGACCAAAATAAAACAAACAATAACCCAATTTAACCCCCCAAAACAACAAAAAAGAAATCACGGTTTCATATATAACTTTTTCTGTAAAGTGATTTCATATATTACGTTGTGGCAATATGTTCTTTTTTTTTTGGTCTGTCATGGGGCTTGAACTTGGCCTTGACACAGTCCATGAGCTCTTTTTGCTCAAGGTTAGTGCGCTACCACTTTGAGCCACAGCACAACTTCTGGTTTTAAGGTGGTTAATTGGAGATAAAAATCTCATAGACTGGGCTGAGAAGGTGGCTCAGTGGTAGAGTGCTTACCTTGCATGCTTGAGGCCCTGGGTTCGATTCCTCAGCACCACATAAGCAAAAAGAAAAAAGCAGGAAGTGGTGCTGTGGTTCAAGTGGTAGAGCGCTAGCCTTGAGCTGAAGAGCTGAGGGACAGCACTCAGGCCCAGAGTTCAGGCCCCATGACCGGCCCCCCCCAAAAAAATCTCATAGACTTTCTTGCCCAGGCTGGCTTTGAACAGTGATCCCCAGATCTCAGCTTCCTAAGTAACTAGGATTATAGGCTCAAGCTACTGGTGACTGGTAGGTAATGTGTCCTGAATGGAATTCATAAACAATAAAAACTACAAATGTCACAAGCAACTCATATCTCTTCACAGTCAGGATTGTAGTCACTTTTCCAGATCCAAGCAGTGGAAAATGTCAGGATTTGGATTTTACTGATAGCAAACAGATCCCTCTGCTTTCCTAAGCCTGCCTTCATGCCTTTGTTCACTTGTACTAATTACAAAGGCTTTTCTGTCTACCCTTCTTTAGGTGAGCTGGTGACACTTGGGCAGTATGACCCACTGCTTTGGTATTGTAGCAAATGCTGCTTTCACATCTGGAAGAGTCATTATTTATTTTGTGAAACAAGTGGCCTCAGATGGAAATAACAATTATGGTTCTAGAGTATGACCAAAGAGTTCCACAGGTTTTGGGGGGGTCCGGTCATGGGCCTGAACTCTGGGCCTGGGCGCTGTCCCTCAGCTCTTCAGCTCAAGGGTAGCGCTCTACCACTTGAGCCACAGCGCCACTTCAGGCTTTTTTTTTTTCCTGCTTATGTGGTGCTGAGGAATCGAACCCAGAGCCTCATGCATGCAAGGCAAGCGCTCTAACACTGAGTCATCTTCCCAGCCTCAGAGTTCCACAGATTTAAAAGGGAGGGACTTACTCTTTTCTAACCTGTACATGTCCTGTTGTCTCTAAACTGTCATGTGATTGACTCTTTTTTTGGTCAGTTGTGGGGCTTGAACTCTGGGCCTGGGTGCTGTCCCTGAGCTCTTCAGCTGAAGGCTAGCACTTTACCACTTGAACCACAGCACCACTTCCAGTTTTCTGGTGGTTACTTGGAGATAAGAGTCTCAGGAACTTTCCTGTTCAGGCTGGCAAGAGGTAAGAGGTAAGAGGATGCACTATCTCATGGATTTTTTTTTCTCTTTAGGAATTACCCTTGTGTGCCTGGCCATTCCTGTGGCTTTTGGTGTGTATGTGAATTACAGGTGGCCAAAACAATCAAAGATCATCCTTAAGGTGAGTGTGTTAGTACATCCCCAGACACAGAGACCTGAAAGACAGGAGGAGGTGACTGTTGGAGTGAGTGAGCTAACCTGTTCCGGACTTCTTCTGTTGTGCCCAGGTCGCAGGACCCTCACCAACAAGACCACTGAGAGTCAGACTCTACAGCCCTTTTAAGGTTTTATTTAAACAGTCTGCAGCTCGAGCCTTGTCCTACACTCCGACACAGCGGAGCCTAGGAGGAGAGTCCCGAGCTAAACATTTGTAGGGCTTGTAAAGGCACACAACCAACCAGGTGTTTGGATTACCACCACGTGTTGCTCTGCTAGACAGAATTTGCTGATCTTAGGTTTAGTTTAAACAAGCAACAAGTGGTCACTGCCTCAAAACTTTAACCCTTCATTCACCCCCTTTGACTTATGGTCCTGAGACACAATCTTGTGGCTCTGGCTCCAAACTAAACTCTAACAGCTCTCGATGACTAGTCCCTCTCTGACCTTAGCCATAAACAACAAGACCAATAACAATGAGTCCATTTTTCTTTTCTTGAGGCATATGCAGAGTGGTTGGGTAGGATGCTTGGAGACTTCCCATGTTTCCCCACGGTCATCCAGGGCAAAGGGGTCAGCCGGTCTGGCGTGGGAGCAGTGGATCCAAGCAGCAATGCCATCCACCTTAAGGGCAGTAGGTGTAGCCAGTAGCACCATGTAAGGTCCCTTCCACCGTGGTTCCAGAGATCTCAAGTTGTGCCTTAGAACAAACACCCAGTCCCCTAGTTTAAACGAATGGAGGGTAGGAATAGAAGCAGAATCATATAATGCTCTAAGCTGGGGCCACATATTCTTATGTACCAGCTGTAAATAGTCAAGCTTGCACAGAAATTCAGTATCATCCAAATCAACAAGCAATTCAGTCTGAAGCTAGGGATAACGAGTGGAGGGTGTTCATACATTATTTCAAAAGGAGTAAAGCCAAGCCAATAGGGTGAATTTCTTATTCTAAACAAGGCAAAAGGAAGGAGCGATACCCAGTCTGCGCCAGTCTCCAAGGGCAATTTAGTTAAGGTCTCTTTTAGAGTCCGAGTCATTCTTTCTACCTGCCCTGAACTCTGGGGTCAATAAGCACAGTGCAATTTCCAATCCATCCCCAGTGCCGCGGCTATTCCCTGACTTACTTTTGAGACGAAGGCCAGTCCATTGTCTGACCCAATGGTGGAAGAAAGCCCTACCTGGGTAGGATTTCTTCCAGGATCTTCTTAGCCACGATGTTCTCGGTCTCATGCTTTGTTGGGTAGGCTTCAACCCATCCTGAAAAAGTGTCTACAAAAACTAGCAAATATTTATATCCAAATTTTCCAGTTTTAATTTCTGTGACGTCTACTTCCCAATACACACCTGGCCTATCTCCATGGAGGCGAGCTCCTTTTGTAACTGGTTGATTGGGGGCATTGGTGAGCTGACAGACTTTACAATTTTTAACACTGTCCTCAATGAGTTGATTTCCTTGCCTAATTTTTACTTCTGAGTGTTGGAGCAACTCCTGCATTGAAGAGGTTCCCATGTGAGAGACCCGATGGATTCTCTTAAGAATCTCCTTGCCCAATCTTTGTGGCAAGATAAGTTTTCCCTCACCAGTTTTCCACCAGTCTTTGTTTCCTTCTCTGTCTGGGGGTTTATAGACCATGGGAATTTTCTTTATCCACTCCAAGTCTTCTTGGGAGTACTGAGGCTCAGGAGGCAAAGCTCGTGACCCTGGGTCTACTAGAGTCAGTACTTCTGCTCTGGGTTGGAGGGCCGCCTCCTTAGCTGCCTGATGGGCCAAGTTATTTCCTTTGGTTATTGAATCAGTTCCCTTTTGATGGCCAGGGCAGTGCATAATTTGCTGGTTCCCATATGGCCCGGATGAGGCTTAAAATTTTTTGTTTGTTTTTAATAGTCTTTCCCTCAGCTGTCAGCAGCCCCCTCTCTTGGTAAATGGCTCCATGGACATGCACAGTGGCAAAAGCATACTGACTGTCCGTGTAAATGTTTAGTCTCTTCCCTCTTCCCATTTGAAGGGCTTTTGTGAGAGCCACTAGTTCTGCTCTTTGTGTAGACGTTCCCTGGGGGAGTGCTTCTGCCCACACTATCTCAGTGTCCGTGGTGACTGCTTCATACCTGTAAGCCTAGCTACTCACGAGGCTGAGATCTAACAATAGTGGTTCCTAGTTAGCTTGTTGGACTGTAAAGTCTGTGAAACTTTTTTTTTTCTAGTCTTGTGGCTTGAATTCATGGCCTGAGCTTTATTTTCAAGGCTAGCACTCTACCTCTTGAGCCATAACTCCACTTCCTGCTTTTTGGTGATTAATTAGAGATATTAGTTTCTCCAACTTTCCTGCCCAGCTGGCTTTGAACTGTGAGACTCAGCTCTCAGTGTCCTGAATAGCTAAGACTACAGGTATAAGCCACTGGTGTCTGGCATCTGTGTGACCCTTACATCCAATTAACCATGGCAAAGTCAGAAGTGGAGCTATGACTCAAATGGTAGAGCACCATCTTTGAAAGAAAAGCTCAGGGACAGAACCTTGGCTCTGAGTTCAAGCTACAGTAGTGGTGCACATGCGTGCACGTACGTGCACACACATACACACACAATTAAAATATAATAACAAACCTTGGAGTTTTTCTGTTTTCTCATTTTTAATTAATTAATTAAGTTAGTCTGTCATGGGGCTTGAACTCTGGGCCTGGGTGCTGTCCCTCAGCTCTTCAGCTCAAGGCTAGCACTCTACCACTTGAGCCACAGTGCCACTTCCAGTTTTCTGGTGGTTTTTGGTTATAAGAGTTTCATAGACTTTCCTGCCTGGACTGGCTTTGAACTGTGATCCTTAGATCCTTAGATCTCAGCCTACTCAGTAACTAGAATTATAGCACTCAGCCTGTATTTTTTTTAAAATAAATTTTATTGAAATTAAGTGATTACATAATTTTCACATATTTTACAGTATTGTAGGATAGTGATACTTAGTTAAAGTCACAAACACATTTTAACTTTCACAAGGCAAATTGTCATTATCTTGGTCTATAAAGTTTGTGAATTCTATAAACTATGACAGTACAACTAATTTTTTTGGGGGGTGCGGTTGTGGGGCCTGAACTCTGGGCCTGGGCACTGTCCCTCAGCTCTTCAGCTCAAGGCTAGCGCTCTACCACTTTATCCACAGCGCCACTTCTGGCTTTTTTTTTTTTGCTTATGTGGTGCTGAGGAATCGAACCCAGGGCCTCATACATACAAGGCAAGTGCTCTACCACTGAGCCACCTTCCCAGCCCCAAGTACAACTATTTCTTCTGTGTTGGGTGATATGTACATTTCTGTGTTGGGTGATATGTACATTTCTTTTCCTTTTTTCTTTTCTTTTTTTTTTTGGGTCTGGTCGTGGGGCCTGAACTCTGGGCCTGGGTGCTGTCCCTTAGCTCTTCAGCTCAAGGCTAGTGCTCTACCACGTGAGCCACAGCACCACTTCTGGCTTTTTTCTTTCTGCTTATGTGGTGCTGAGGAATCGAACCCAGGGCCTTAGGCATGCAAAGCAAGTGCTCTACCACTGAGCCACCTTCCCAGCCCAAGCCTTGGAGTTTTGTAATCCCTATTGATGGCTAATTTGGCTGAGTTGAGTGACCACACTAGAACTCAGGGTTTTCCTCTATATTCTAACTTTTGCTTTTTGCAGTTTCAGTTAATATGCCATAGATATAGTGGAATTCCAGAAATAATATTTCACATTTTCAGTTCAATCCTGTTCTAGACTTACTAAGTATTGTGATATTGCTTTATCCCGCCTGGATCATAACTCATCATTTTGTTCATTGTGTCCATGCTTTTGTCCACACAAGCACAGGGTCACATTTCCCCTCCTCCTCCTTCTTCTTCTCCTTCTCCTCATTCTTCTCCTTCTCCTTCTTCTTCTTCTCCTCCTCCTCCTTCTCCTCCTTTTCCTCCTACTTCTTCTTCCTCCTCCTCCTTTTTCTTCTTTTTTTTTCCCCCCAGTCCTGGGGCTTGAACTTAGGACCTGGGCACTGTTCCTGAACTTCTTTTGCACAAGGCTAGCACTCTACCACTTGAGCCACAGCACCACTTCAGCTTTTTCTGTTTATGTGGTACTGAGGGCTTCATGAATGCACTCTGTCAATAAAGCAAGTATTCTACCACTAAGCCACATTCTCTGCCCTCTACATCTCTTCTTGCTGTCCCAGATCAGCAGGCCTCCCACTTGCCACAGTGTTCTGTGTTCATTTACTTGGATTGCCCAGCACATTTCATTCATTATATTATTTTACTAGGTGCCATGTATAAATATCCTTGAACCATTACCTACTGTTCATGGAGACCATTTATTTGTTATATTTGTATTATTAGTTGCTCATTTCCTTTCTTGTAGATGTATGTGCTTAGCAAGCATATAGAATACATAGATTCAGAAGTATCTGGTTTCAGGCATCCATATGAGTAGCAGGATAATCTGCTGTGTGTTGAGGGATGCACTCAGATTCAATGCTAAGTTCCCTCTTTGTTCTCAAACTTACAACTTTTGTTGGTTTGTTTTAGATTGGGGCCGTCGTTGGTGGGATCCTCCTTCTGGTGGTCACAGTTGCTGGTGTGGTGCTGGCAAAGGGATTCTGGAATTCAGACACCACTTTTCTGATCATCAGTTTCATCTTTCCATTGGTCGGCCATGTGGCAGGCTTTCTACTGGCACTCCTTACCCACCAATCATGGCAAAGGTACAGTTACATTATCTAGAAGTGTTTCTTTGTGGTGGTGATGGTTGTGGGGCTTGAACACAGGGCCTTATGTGTGCTAGGCAAGCATGCTCTTTCTGAGCTACCTCCCCACAGCATTTCAGAAAAAGGTAAGTGACATACCTGATCACTGGAAGACTTTGCTCTCCAGCTGTGCCAGGAGACAGGAAGGGTTTTGGTCACACAGTGGTTGGGGTTGTTACCTCAGCAGCAGAAGATGGAGAGATGAAAGCAATCTTTTATGTACAGTAATACAAAGGCTACATTAATAGGAAGTGGTAATGAAATTAGGATTGGGGTTGAAATTCTGTTGAAATCTGGATTCTTGTGTGTGTGTGTCCTAAATTCTTTTTATTTTTAATATTTTGTATTTTATTATAAAGGTGATGTACAGAGGGGTTATAGTTTCATAAGGTAATATGAATCCATTTCTTGGAATTTTTTTTAAACCCAAGAATTAAGCAGGAAGAATGAGTTTATGAGGTTGTTTCACTGAACCCAGAGATGATTGTAAGGCATGAACTGAGCTATAAGAGAGTAAGTCCTTATTCATTGTGCCCTATACTAATTATAAAACACAAGAAGAGAAAAGAGACAAATTGAGGCATAAGATAGGAGTTCTTCATCAACATTTTCACTGTGAATTAAGGCATTTTGTTTATAATACTATAAAATACTGGAAACGATGATACTCCAGAGGGCATGCTTGTCCTAAAATGAGTGCTGTAGTACAATGATGGGAGACACAAATTAATTAAACTTTTTTTCTGGAAGGTAATTTAGTATTATATTGACAGCTTAAGATAAATACTCACAGTTGCTAAATCAGTCATTTTACTTTTGTTTTGAGACAGACCTTGCAAGGTAGTCCAGGCTATCCTCAAATTTGTGATTCTGTTACCTAGTGCTGGCATTATAGGCCTGAGCCACTACACCTAGCAGTATTTTACTTTTCAAAATCTATTCTAAAATTAGTGCTCCAAGATATGCAAGTGAATGCTGATGCATTCATTGTAGTGTTATTCATACATGTAAAAATGGAAATAATTTAAATATCTAACAATAGGGAGATATTTAATTCCTGATGCATGTGGTAGATAAGATACATTAAGCTTAACAATTCTGGAAAATATTCAAGAAACAAATTTTAGTTAAAAAATTTAAAAAACGAACGCCTAATTCCTACTTTGTGGAAGAAAACAAAACCAATGGTATGTGTGGAAAAATACTAGGAGAAATATAGCATGTATGAGATTCGGGGTCATTTTAGTCCTTACGTATTTTCAGTTTCTAGGTATATTTCTCACAATTTTTGATAAGTCTGTCAACTAAAAAGAAATGATGTGGCTGGCTTGCAGAGGTGGCAGGTGGCAATGTGGGGGTGAGTTTATGTTGCTTCCATTCCACTGAGGAAGTCAGTAATGTTCTGTGCACTGTGCAAGGCTCCACAAATCAAGCTTGTTTTAGACGCTGAGAAGGTACGTGTGGTACAGAAGTTCCACCATGAGGTACCAAGAAGCGACATTTTGAGAGGTCGAATCAGGAGTCTTTATTAGAAAGCCGGTGACTGTGAGTGGACACATGTCCCCCAAACACATGCAGCCTCCAATACACTTAATACTGTTAGAAACCTGAGAAAGAGGGTAGTAAAGAAAGAGCAGAAAAGCAATCTCAACAAACCAGATCAACTCTAATGGAGAGTTGAAGAGGGTCGCCATGGTGACCTGAGGAGAGCCAGGAGACAGGACGCATGGCACACTAGGTGGTGGGGCCTAAATAGGGTCATTCTCAGGGTCACGGGGAGCTTGAGTTCAGAGTCTTGCAAGTTCATAGTATAGGTCTGGTAGGTCCCCGAACCCATTGTCCAAGTTTCTACCCCTGCTTCCTATCACCTGAGGATGGGAGAGGGTTTCACCTATAAGAATTTTCATGAAGCCCCTATCTATCCACCCAGATGCCAAGACGGCATCCGTTAGGATTCACTATACAGACCACAAAGCTAAGAAAAGTTAGGGAAACAGTAGGTCAAATGGGGAGGAGAATGTTGAAGGGTATAACGCTGATCAAGATGTGCTGTGCTCATAAACTGCTTTGTTATATGTCGGTTACATCTAGTTAAAGGTAATTAAAAAACAAAAACCCAACAAAAAACCTTAGAACTGGATGGGAAGAGAAAGCACCCCCATGGCAGAGTGTAGCCAGCAATCAAGTCTTTCTCATCTCTGATGACCTGAACTGTCAGGGACTGAGGTAGAGCCTTCTCTTGTGAATGGTCCAGGTGCCATTTCCAGCTTGTTGCGTTATTGTATCAAGTTATTGTCAAGTGCATGAAAGCAGCGAGGAGTTTAAGGGAAGTATGGCAAATAGTAGGGGAAGTACAAGATATGAATCACAAAGCTAGGCACTGGTAGCGCAGGCCTGTAATCTTAGCTACTCAGGAGGCTGAGCTCTGAGGAAGAAGGTTCAAAGCCAGTCCAGGCAGGAAAGCCTGTGAGACTCTAATCTTCAGATAACTACCAAAAAAATGGAGCTCAAGTGGTAGAGCACTAGCCTTGAGCAAAAAAGCTCAGAGACAGAGCCCAGGCCATGAGTTCAAGCCTTAGGACTGGCATGTCTACACACACACACACACACATACACAGATATGAATGGCAGAACTTATCCTGTACCATAGACAGTGTTTCTACCTCCACATTACACACCCTTGTAAGCCTCACATTACAACTAAGCTTGTAAATAGACAAAGTTCTCTTCAGAAACTCTTTGCATCTCTTTACTTCCTTGTGTAAAAGCCTGCAGACTCCTGTTAAAGACTGGAGCGAAAAGGTCAGCACTGGTGGCTCACTCCAGAAATCCGAGCTACTTAGGAGGCTGAGATCTGAGGATCAAGGTTTGAAGCTGGCCTGGGCAGAAAAGTCTGTGAAGCTCTCATCTCTAATGAACCAGAAAAAAAGCTAGAAGTGGGATAGTGGTTCAAGAATGACAGCCTTGAGCAAAGACTTTAAGGGCAGTGCCCAGGCTGATCCCCAGTGCTGTCTCTCCCTCCTCTCCCCCTCCCTTTCTCCCTCTCCTCCTCCTCATCTCTCTCTCTCTCTCTCTCACACACACACACACATGCACGTACACAGAGGGTTGGGGTGGGGATTAAGCTGGCTTAATCTAATGTCCTACACACGGTTTTCCTGTTCCTTCTCCCTTTTCATTTGAAGTGACTTATTTTCTCTGATCAGAAAACCAGTAATTATCGAAAAGCCCATGCAGCTTTCCTTCTTCCTCTCTAATCTCCAGGCGGTGTGGCCAACAGAAGACGTGATGCCTTCGAAGTAAGCCATGCCTTGCATACCTGGGAATTCCATTTCCCCTCTCACCAAATGACTCTTGCCATTCATGATTTCTTTCCTTTGGGAAACCTTCTCTGACCACTTCTGCATTTCTGCAGCATCTCTAAATTTCAACAGCATCTCCTTGGCGGTAGATTATACTTTGTCTTGTGTTGTTATTGATCCTTTCCTGGGTGTTGATCCACTCAGGTACCCAGGACAGGGTTCATAAAGCTTTGACTCCCCAGATCCTCTCAGAAGCTTAAATTCCCTACTATAGGCACTCAGCAAGTAACTGCTAAGTGTACAAACCCTTTTAATTGCCTAAGCTTGAAGCTTGTATTTAGCATATCTAAGAGGAAAATTAAGTCTATTCCATATTGCTACTATATAACTTTTTTGTGTGTGATTGAACTCAGGGCTTCATGCTTGCCAGGCTAGTACTCTGCTACTTGAGCTATGACTGCAGTCTCTTTTAGCATTGATTATTTTCTTTTTTATATATTTTTATTGTTATTATAAAGGTGATGTACGGGGGATTACAGTTATATAAGTCAGGTAATGAGTACATTTCTTCTAAACAATGTCACCCCTTCATTCACTTTCTCCAGTTTTTTCCTTCCACATTGATTATTTTCTAGGTCATGTCTTTTTTTTTTTTTTTTTTGGGTCCGGTCGTGGGGCCTGAACTCTGGGCCTGGGCACTGTCCCTCAGCTCTTCAGCTCAAGGCTAGTGCTCTACCACTTGAGTCACAGCGCCACTTCCGGCTTTTTTCTTTTTGCTTATGTGGTGCTGAGGAATCGAACCCAGGGCCTTGAGCATGCAAGGCAAGCGCTCTACCACTGAGCCACCTTCCCAGCCCGGTCATGTCTTTCTTTATGCCAGTGCTGGCTTGGTCTGCAATTCCTCTACTAGCATGTGCCTGTGCTGCTGGAGATGTGAGGTGCGTGTCACCATGCACAGCCATTGGTTGAAATGGAGTTGCATAAATTTTTTTGCCTGTTGCCTCTCAATCTTGGGCTCTCATGTATACAATAGGTCTGAGCCACTGTGAAGATGAGTATGTCATTCTTGAACTCTTTCTCATTGTCAGGTGCAGGACAATTTCCTTAGAAACTGGAGCTCAGAACATTCAGATGTGCATTACCATGCTCCAGCTATCTTTTGCCTCGGAGAACTTGGTCCAGATGTTTAACTTCCCATTGGCTTATGGACTCTTCCAGATGCTGGATGGATTTCTCATTGTGGCAGGTAGATGAACTTTCTCTGGGTAGATGAGATAGAATTGAGTCAATTCCAGACTGAAAAATTAAATACCCCAATTTATCAATCCTTTCTTCAATCCAAACTTGGATGTGATGCCCCTGTGACACATTTTTAGCCTGACTCCTTGGGGGACAATAAAATGCATAAACAGGATATTTCAATATAGTGGGAATTTCACAAGAAAAACATTTTGAAAACATCTGAATGTTTCTAATTACAAGAAAATATGCTTCAGAAGAACTAATGCACTGTTCAAACTTAATTCCAGGAATTGTTAAGACAAGGTTTTCATGAGCAGTTACTGATCTCAAAAAATGACAATCAAGCCAGGCATGGTGGTACACACTTGGAATTTGTATTTAAGAGGTAGCAATAGGAGGACTCTCCTCTTCAAGATAAACTTACACAAAAAGTTAGAGAAACACTGTTTCATGAAATAAGCCTGATTGGGCATTGGTGGTACATGCCTATAATCCTAGCTGTTCACAAGGTCGAGATCTGGAGCATTGTGAGTTGAATATAACCTGGGAAAAAAGTCTGACTGACTCCACCTCCAATTAACCAGCAAAAACTGGGCTCCAAGTGAAGGTCAAGTGGCAAAGTGCCAGCCAAACAAATAATCCAAGTAGGGGCAAGGTCTTGAGTTCAAACACTATCATTGGGAAAAATGTGTGTATAGATATACACATACCCACATATATTTTAGTTTTGTACCATTCTAATTTTTGTTGTTGCTGTTAGTCATGGGGTTTGAACTCTGGGCCTGGGCTCTGTCCCTAGGCTCTTTTGCTCAAGGCTGGCCCTCTACCACTTTGAGCCACAGCACCACTTCCAGTTTTCTGGTGGCTTATTGGAGATCAGAATCTCATGGACTTTCCTGCCCAAGTTGGCTTCCAAATGTGATCCTCAGATCTCAGCCTCCTGAGTAGCTAGGATTAGAGGTGTGAGCCATCTGTAATAGTGACCAGCTATATATTTTTTTTATTGTCATCAAACAGACTCTTAGTAAAGCTCAGTGATTATTGACATTAACTAGTTATATACAGAATATTGATTAACTAGTTATATACAGAATATTGATTATTATATACTGGTTTACGGATACAGAGACATCCAAAGAATAGTTGGAGTTTAATGTTTGCATGAGGTGAGAGAAATATTCTCAGAATAAAACTCCTGGGGTCAGATCCACATTTTAGTGAAGTATCATGTCTGATTTATTCCCAATTACAGTTCAGTGTCCAGGTGAGTCCCTGACAATAAATGCCCCACAGGGGTTTACTGAATAATTGAATGATTGAATGAATGAATGAATGAGCTGTCAGTGCCAATGAATTGAGACTCAATTCCAGACAGAAAGAACCCTTCAGATACAATGAATCATTGTATCCCTTTCTTTTTTCCTGTGTAATTATACATCATAGTGCAAGGCAAACAAACCCCTACAGCATAGGCAAGTATACAGTGTTCTCAAATTGTACTCTTTGCTAAAGTGACTCTTAACACTTGTGTATCTTGTCACCCAGCATACCGGGCATACAAGAGGAGGCTGAAGAAGAAGGGTAGGAGGAAGCCCCCGGATTGTGCAGCAGTCTGCCACGACAAGAAACCCAAAGAGACTGGAGCTTTCTTGGAGGCGAATGAAGAAGCTGGGGGAAGCCCAGGGCCCTCAGAACCCATATTTTACCACAGGGCTCTTGAGCCTATCGGCCAAATCACTTCATGTGACTAGAGGGACTTGCTGGCCAGGCTGCTCCTCCATCTTCGTTGGTGGTCTGATAGTGGTGCAGCGCTCCAGGCCCGGGTCTGGTTGGCAGGGCTGTGTAACTGTTTAAGTAGCAAATGTTAGAATGCATGCACTTTTGTGTGGATCATTGATTGTACTAGGAGCACTTTTCTGAGAATGTGTGTTGCTCATGGCAGGAATCTTTTGGGGATTTGTACAACCGGTGTGAACCTGCTGAGTAACATCTTGTTTCCCCAGGCAGTGAACAGTGCCTAGTAGTGGACAGTAGCCATTGTATGGCAGGACCCATGTTTTTTTCTTTTTTTCTTTTCTTTTTTGTGCTGGCCCTGGGGCTTGAACTCAGTGCCTGATTTCTGTCCCTAAGCTTTTGTGCTCAAGCTAGCACTCTACCATGTGAGCCACCGCCCCACTTCTGGCTTTTTGGTGGTTAATTGAAGGTTAGAGTCTTATGGACTTTCCTGCTGGGCTGGCTCTGAACAGCAATCCTCAGATCTCAGCCTCCTAAGCAGCTAAGATTTCAGGTGTGAACCACTGGTGCCCCGTCCATGTTGTGGATTTTAATCCAGTGTCAGGATTTTGTGTGGAGGGGCAAGGCGGATTTTGGATCCACGTGATGTTTAAATAAAAAGTAAGCGTAAATATTATTTTTAAGCTCTTAAATATATTTTTTCTGATGATAGATGTAACTGGGTTTAGAGGGAATTTGAGGAAAATATGAGATTAAAAAGTGAGTGTCCTCTCCTGGGCATCTACCCAGGACATCACAGGCCAGAATACCATAAAGACACTTGCACATCCATGTTCATTGCTGCACTATTAACAATAACCAAGTTGTGAAAACAGCCCAGACACCGTACAATAGATGAGTGGATCAAAAAAATGTAGTACCTATATACAACGGAATTTTCAACAGCCATTAGAAAGAATAATTGTCATAATTAGGGAAATGGATGGACCTAGAACAAATATGTTAAGTGAGGTAAGTTGAGCTCAGAGAGACAAATGGTACGTGTTCTCACTCATATGTGGAAGCTAGAGCTAAAATATACAGACCTTGGTAAATTGTTATTATTATTATTATTATTGTCGGTCATGGGGCTTGAACTCTGGGCCTGGACACTGTCCCGCATAACTTTAGCTCAAGACTAATATTCTAACACTTACTTGAGCCACAGCGCCACTTCTGGTTTTCTGGTGGTTTATTGGAGATAAGAGTCTCACAGACTTTTCCTGCCTAGGCTGGCTTTGAACCTTGATCCTCAGATCTCAGCTTCCTGTGTAGCTAGGATTACAGGCGTGAGCCACCAGTGCCTGGCACCTTGGTAAAATTTAAATTATAGGGTATGAAGGACTCTAGACAGTCACACACAATAAGACCAAAGGAGGACACTCTTAGGGGAAGAACACAAAGGCACAATGCCTATGTGCCTCTGATCATAAAAAAAAAAATAATGGAAATAAACTCCAGGAAATGGAAACAAAAAAAATGAATGTCCTGTACCTTAAATCTACGTTACTCAGATTTACCCTCTGAATCTCTGCATTCACACTGATTACTTAAAAACCATAGCGGGCTGGGAAGGTGGCTCAGTGGTAGAGCGCTTGCCTTGCATGCATGAGGCCCTGGGTTCGATTCCTCAGCACCACATAAGCAAAAAGAAGAAAGCTGGAAGTGGTGCTGTGGCTCAAGTGGTAGAGCTCTAGCCTTGAGCTGAAGAGCTGAGGGACAGTGCCCAGGCCCAGAGTTCAGGCCCCATGACCAGACCCAAAAAAACAAAGCAAACAAAAACAAAAAACAAAACCATAGCAATTGGGCCCTAACTATGTTTTTTTCATTTTAAGTTTTTATTGTTATTATAAAGGTGATGTGCAGAGGGACTACAGTTACGTAAGTCAGGTAATGAGCTCATTTCTTTTTGGGCAATGTTATTCCTTCTCTCGCTCCTTACACATGGTTTTACAAGTTGCTTGATGACGTATTTTGGCACATCTTTTCATGTCAGTGTGTATTAATCTACCTCGTTCTTTAGATGGAAGTATTGTATTGCATGAAGGACTGTCATCTTTTTGGTCCCAGCCTGTTGGTGTCACAGTGCTGCTACACCCTTGTCTTTGTGCCAGCATTTCTGTGGTTCTCTCCCATGACACTGTGGCTAGGCTGCTGCTGGGGGTGAGACTGGACACATTGCTCTCTGGCAATATTCAGCTCTCCTGAGAGCTCCAGGCTTCCTGTCTCACAGTCTAAGGAAAGATTTTTGGTCATTTTGATTCATGCAAATATCTCACTCATCACATTTTCAAAATTATGAATGAAGTAGAACACTTGCCCAATCATTTCACTATTCCGGTCCTTTGTCTGCTTTTCCATTTTATTTTTCTTTTTAAATGCGTTTGAACATGTAATGATTCTATGTATTGCCAATGTTACTTTTTTCCTACATTTTTTTCCTATTCAATTTTGTATTGTGAAAAATGTATTCAGCTTTATTGTATGTGGTGTGTGTGTGTGTGTGTGTGTGTGTGCATGTGTCCATAGTTGGGACTGTACTGGGGATTGAACACAGGGACTCATGCTTGCTACGCAGGTGCTCTATCATTTGAGCTACATTCACAGGCTGCTTTATTAAGTCTTCAAAAATTCTTTTAAACTGCTGTGGTTGTGTGGATCATGAATTGTCCTGACGGCCCTTTCTGGGGAGCTTTTTGGGGGGACTTTCACAGCACACTGTCTCTGTGCAGGCACACAATGCCTTGCAGCTGGTAAACTCCATCCTTCTCTATTGTGACATTATTAAAAATAATTCTCCACACACTTTCCTGTTACTTTCATGGACTGAATATGTCGTTTTTTATTTGGTATTTGCATTTTTTGGGTGTGGTGTTAAGAACCTATTTTTTTAAAAAAATTCTAGCATCATCTATTGAATCGTTCATCTTTGCTCCACTAATTGCAATACCATCTTTTTTTTTTTACCTTACTTTTTTTTTATTGTAAAGATACTATACAGAGGGTTACAGTTACATGAGTGAGGTAATGAGTACACTTCCTCTTGAACATTGTTACCCCTTCCATTGTTTTCCCCCTACCATCCCTTCCCTCCCTACCTTCCCCGAGGTTCTTTTTTTTATTGTGATTAAGTGATTACATAGTTTCTAAGTCACAAGTTCATTCTAACTTTCCTGGAGCAAATTGTCTATCACAGTCTGTAATATATAACATTGTTCACATGTTATACACCACATATGTGATCAGCAGCATGGGGATATTTAGTAGTGGTTCGACCAGATGAGTGGGAGTTCTTTGTTTCTTAAGTCCTGTTAGTTTTGTCGTATCACCTAACATTTTGGATTTAGCATCCACTTATCAGGGAGACCATGTACCGTTTGTCTCTTCGTTCTTTGCAATGCCATCTTTAGCACATAACTTCCTATGTTTTTAAACTATGATCCCTTTTTGTATCTATTTTTATTTATGAGTTTTGAAGTGCATGAGAAAGCATGCTATGTGAGATTTAATACTTTGTAATTTTGTTTCATAAGTATCCCCAGTAACCAGTGGGTTAATATGAAGACAGTGAAAATTATAAGTGTGTGTATGTCTTGTGTGTCTGTATGTCTGTGTGTGCCAATACTGGTACTTGAACTCAGGGCCTGGGTACCATCCTTTAGCTTTTTCACTCTACCGTTTGTGCCACAGCTCCACTTTCAGCTTTTTTTTTTTGGTAGCTAATTGGAGATAAGAGACTTTTCTTTGAACTGTGATCCTCAGATCTCAGACTTCTGAGTAGCGAGGATTACAGGCATGGGCCACTGGCACCTGACTTTAATTAAATCAATTTTATCCAAGCTACTAATAGCTGGAATCCAATGGGAGGAAGAAGTGGGATGAAGGGATAATGCAGCATGCGACGAGTCTACTAGCTTTTTGTGGGAAGAATCAGCTAGGCTGTCATGGCAAGGTGGGAAGGACACGGGCTTCCCCAGGCCTGATTGCTATCGTCCAGGTGAAGGGGTGGCAGCCTCTAGAATCAAAGTGGAAGCTGGTTGACTGGGAATTGAATTCTTACCTTGGTCCTGTGTGTAGCCTTAGGCAAGTATAATGGTCCTGGTCTTTCAGTTTCTGCACTCAAAAAGAACGACGACCTAAACACCCTGAAAAAGGAGGCTAGATGAAAACACCTGGTACAATCGGCAAGCGGTCCACACGCAGTGCCCCCTTCTTTTTGTAGGTGTGTGCGTTAGGTGTCACAAATGTGGTTCATATAGACAGCACATGTTGTGAACCTAACCATGCCCCTCCCTGTAGGCAATCTGCTGATGAGCCTCTGCTGTACCTTCCATTCAGCACCTCACTGGTGCCTCCTCGCTCCTCGGGGATAACTCCCCATAAGCCCATTAGCCCAACATATGGCTTGTCATTGGCTTGAGGATTTTGTAGTATGATCTTGGGAATAGAATACCTAATGTTGTGTGGATGAGTAAAATTGTGTTTCATAAATACAGAACTGAAGACTGCTTTTAAATTCTTGACCTATGGATCTCTTTCTTTTGTTCTGGTCCTAGGGGGTTTGAACTCAGGGCTTGGACACTGTCTCTGAACTGCTTTTGCTCAAGGCTAGTGTTCTACCACTTTGAGCTCCACTTCTGGCTTTTTCTGTGATTAATTGGAGTCTCATGGACTTTCCTGTCCAGACTGGCTTCAAACAGTGCCTCAGATCTCAGCCTCTTGGGTAGCTAGGATTAAAGGCATGAGTCACCAGTGCCCAGATCTATGGGTGTCTTTAACAGTTACAAAATTAGATGTTTCTGGGGTTCTAGATGATCTTAGAATACTGACACAATACTTACTACATAGGAGCAGCAGTCTGCTTGCTGCTAACCAACATTGTTAATCCTTCTTAACAGAACCAAAGTTTTGTTCAGAATTGTAAAAGTAATGTTCTTTAAGCTAGAAGTGGACATGGAACCATTTTTGCTAAGATAGAAGCATGGGGCTGGGAAGGTGGCTTAGTGGTAGAGTGCTTGCCTAGCATGCATGAGGCCCTGGGTTCGATTTCTCAGCATCACATAAGCAGAAAAAGCTGGAAGTGGCACTGTGGCTTTAGTGGTAGAGTGCTAGCCTTGAGCTGAGGAGCTGAGGGACAGTGCCCAGGCCCAGAGTTCAAGCCCCATGACCAACCAAAAAAAAAAAAAAGAGAAAGAGAGAAAGAGACAGAGGGGGGGGGGGTAGACTTCTGCTTCTGGGAAATCCTGCTTTCTTCTCCCGAGCACCCATTCTCCTTGACAATTTGCTTTTTGGAATATGGATGTTTGTGGTAGAGATGCAGCAGCCATTTGAAGA